AAAGAAAGAAACAGATACGGCTTAGATATGCGCCATTAACAGATAAGTAGTTATTCACTGCAGTAATTAATGTATCATTAAGGAAGACACAAAAGGAAGAAGTTCTTGGTGGTCAAAATTTCTTCATACAATGAAGTGGCAATGAAGGTTGCGCTTGAAGGGATTATAGAGTGAGAAGTACAGTTGAATACACGATTTGCATATTGGCACATTGGCAGTGCAGTATCTGACATTACACTCCGGAATAGCTAGAAACAAGTATCCGCATATTGTTCGCTTCCTATGTTCAATTATCCCTTGGCGCGCCCTATGCAGAAATAGGATTTCCCTTTCGGCTTAGAGATTTTCTTCTATTGTCTTTCTCAACCTAAGTTGAGGACGGGTTTCATAACTTATTCAACTAATTTCATTCCATCAAACCCAGATAAAACGCCCTCATTAGATTCAGAATGGGTGGAACTTACATTTTTATTTGAGTCTCCTCCTCTCAGACATCCATCTTCATTTAACTCCGAGAAGATCCTCTGCTGTATTAGGGGCATTATCTTCTGTTCCAGGTGGTTATCTCCTGCGACAAATTGTTTAAAAATGTTTGGAACGACAGTTGGTGTACACATTAGTCATATGTATCTTATTTATATTTCATATGTATAGACTGCTTTCTCCATATAAACATCCCAAAAAAAGGTACATTAGATTCAGGGTAAGAACAAAATAAGAAATTTCGAGAGGCTTCGTATTATTTCTTCAAGAAATCTCTACTCCATATAGCTTCCTAGTAGCAACATATAAGTGGCGACAACGAGAAGTGAAACTGAGCAGGAGAGAAAAAAGGATCTTCGGAAGTTAAGGCCATGAGAGGTCCTGTCCTCGGCTTCAGGTGCGGGAGAACGTTTTTCGTTCCTCCTGTTATTCCTAGGTGAGCATTCATCAGCCAAAACGGAATTGGATTGGCTGAGAGAAGCCATAGTAGGTTAATTTAATTCCTGTGGTCCATATAAGTATACATAAAAAAGGGTTATTACGTGCGCGAATCTTGTTCTAAATACATAACTGAGGTCGGTTGTGTTATGTTATCATAAACTGTGTTAAAATACATTGAGATATTTTAAACTACCTTCAAATACGTTCGAGTAGGTTTTAAACTGTTAAAATATGTAGGAAAGAATTCTCCTTAAATAAGTTTGACAAATCCAAAATCTTTAACAAAAGCAAAAGCACTTACCTAAATAAATTAAGACATTATAGAAAATATCTTTAGCCAA